GCTTCGCGGTCACCCGCGGCGCACCGCCATCGCCTCGCAACCACCGACTGCTGCTCGCCGTGGGCTGCGAGAAAGCGGAGCGACCTCGGCCCGGGCCCGGGCCCGGCCCCGCCGCGCCCGCCCCAACCCTGCGCAGCACCAGCACCAGCACCGCCCGCGGCCCCTGGCGGCCGCCCCTTAAAGGCACCGCCCGACCCGTCCGCTCCGCCCGCACGGTGGCCCTGGCACAGCGGGACCCGGGCCCCGGGTATCTGCTCTGGGTGGGAGCGGCGGGCGGGCCCGGCTCATCCCGGCAGCAGTGGCCCCGGTGCGGCCTATCCGGAGAGGAGCTGCTGCCCCAGGGTCCGCGTAATCCTCGCTCCCCTCGAGCCGCCCCCCAGCCGCCGTCCCGCCCTGCAGCCAGACACAGGTCACCTCCACGCCTCAGCCCCTCCTATCCCCCAGGACAGGACGGACTAGCGCCTGGCTGCGGAGTGTGTGTGCCACGGCTGTCCCTGTTCTTGGATGTTGCCCACCCTGCTCCTGCCTGACGCCTCCCACGGGCACGTGCTGGGACGTCCATGAGTGTTTTTGGAGGGACTGACCTACTGCCRCATCTGTACCCTGTCATCTTTGAACCCAGGGCTGAGAAGGATGCCTTCAACAGCAGTACGGCCTGAACCAGGCCAGGTCTCCTCCTTCATCCCATCCACCCTTCTATCCATACTTCCATCCATCCTTTTTTTCCTGCCATTCATCCATCCTTCCTCCCATTCATTCTGTCTCCCATCCATATTCCCATCTATTCATGCTCCCATCCATCCATCCATCCGTCTGTCCGTCCGTCCGTCCGTCCGTCCATCCGTCCATCCTCCCATCTAGCCTTCCTTCCATCCTTCCTTCCATCGTTTCTTCCTTCTTTTCCTCCTTCCTTCCATCTTTTCTTCCATCTGTCCTTGCTTCCATCCATTCACCCCATCTTTCTTTCCCTCCCTTTTCCTGTCTTAGTTCTCTCCATTTCCCACCTGTCCCTCCCTCTTCCTGCTCTCTGCAGCCCTACCTACACCTTCCCTCTCCCTTCCACCAGCTCTCTGTGACCATCTCACTCTCCATGCTGCTTCCCAAGCCAAGTGTAGCCAGGAGCAGTGAATCCTCTCTGGCTGCCCCAGCCCCAGTGGTGCTGCCAAATATGCCTGTGCTCAGGGCAGGCCCTTTGGCAGCTGCCCAGGGCTAACAAAAACTCCCCTTGTCCAACACAAAGCGACATTATTCCCCAAACTTCTGCGCAAAACACTGTGCTGAGGTCCAGGAGGACAAAGAATGCCTGGTGATGTGGTGGCAGAGAGGCAGTGTGTGTCCAGCTCTGTGCTCTGGGGAGGGTGACTGGTTTGGGAGGGATGCTGAGTATGTGGGCAGGGCTACGGGAAGCAGGGCTGCCCAGAATTGAGGGGAGCTGGGCTTTTACTAGGTCCCTGGGAAAGGAGGGATGCAGTCACCCTTGGTTCCCCACAAAGAATTGTGTGTGGGTTGCCCCCAGCCCACATGAGGAGCACCTCATAACCCCTGTCACACAGTAGAGTGAGTCTCCACCTTGGAGAGGCACAACGGGAGATACGTGGATGGGTCAAAGCCCTGACCTTGGTCTCCTGCTCCTTCCCTCCTGCTGCCCCTGGGTCTCAGGGAGCTTCACAACTGCTCTTCTGCTTGGCATGGCCACAGAAACCCTGAAAGGCCAGCAAGGGGCAGACTCAGCAGTGTGCCATAGAGCAGCACAGCCCCAGGGACATGGTCACCTCTCTCTTCCATAGACCCACGACCTGAAGCTCAAGGACCCAGTGGCCCATCTCCTCCATGGACCAGGAGTCCTGAAGACTAGGGGACATGGAACCCTAAGCACCTCTCAGGGGACTTCCTTGCAGGGTGGCCAAGCTACTCTCTCTGTGTGAGGTCATCTGCAGATGGCAGTACCCATCCACACATATCTCCCTGCTCTTGTGCTGGTGCTGTCTAGCATTCTCCAGTGGTCCCATGGTATGGCCCCTGGCAYTGATCTCTGCCCAGCCCACCTAGGCAACACTGGCCCTGGCTCCCTGCCTGGCTCAGAGCCATATCCTTTGGGCCACAGGATCAGGGTGTTTGGATCCACTGGCTGCAAATCCTCCCTGGGCATTGTCCCTGCACCCAGGGTGTCCTGGGGCAGCACCTGCAAATGTCAGCTGTAAGTGCCAGGGAAAAGCTTCCTGCTGCTCTACCAGCCATCCYGAATCCCCTGTGGAAGTGCTGTCCCCAGAGCTGCCCTCCATGTGCCCTGGGCCCTCAAGCTGTGCAACAGCAAAAGGATGATGCTGAATATTCCAGCCAGGCAGGGACTACTGCCCACAGCCAGCAGGGCCAGGGCAGGGCAGGCTGGAAATGGTGCCCATGGACTGTGGTATCTGGACTTTCATGCAGGGGGAGAAATGCAGAAAAGGAGTGAGAAAAGATTACAGGAAACAGGGACATAGCTGCAGAGGAAGGAACGCCCTCCGTTGGGGCTGCAGTTGGCCTCTGAGGGTTCCCAGCATGTCACTGAAGCCACAGAGCTCTGCTTATACCCTGGCACGATGGCATGGCATTGTTCCCAACGGGGATCCCAAGAGGCTGGCAGCCAGCAGGAATGAGGGTGCAGATCCCAGGGGCAGCCTGAAAACAGGGAACAGTTTGAAGCTCTGTTCCCAGCTCTGTGTRTGCCAGGGCACAGGGCATGCCCTTGCCAGCTTCAGAAACAGTGCTGGACACCTTAATGCTTCCCTCCTTGCCTCTGCCTCAGTTTCCCCATCTCGTTTTGCCTGCCGGGGCTTTCATGGAGACTTGGGTCCTGGACAGCAATGCCAGCAAAGGACACAACTGAACCAGGAGCAGGGCAGGACTGGGGCAGAGCAGAGGCAGCTCTCTGTACACACACTGCTGAGTCTCACATGTGCCYGCTTCCCCTTTTGGTAGGAAACATCGTGGGTAAGAAGGACAGTGCCACATCGGTGGCACATCGGGGCTGTTAGCTGATGGTTTCAGGATGAGTCAGTGGGAGTTGGTATCCTGTTTGCAACCAARCTGCGGATGGCAGATGGGTGGCAACTTTGTAAGGCTGAGGGCACCAACCCAGCCACAGGGCACCAAAACATCTAGGGCCAAATGCTCAGTTATGTAGCACCCACTCAGCCGCAGGACACTCACACAGTCCTGAGGTGCCCGTTCAGCCACAAGGCACCCACCATGGGGTGCCCACTCAGCCAGAGGGTACCCACCCAACTGTGGGGCACTCACCCAACTGTGGGGCACTCACCCAGTCCATGGGGCACTTGCCCAGCTGAGGGACACCCACCCAGTCACAGGGTGCCCACAGGRCAGCGCWGGGGAAGTGCTGGGAGTGGGGTGTGCCAGCTGCCACGTAGGGCAGGAAGGATCTGCTATGGGGCTGGGACAAGGCAAAACTGCAGAAAAGAGGAAGCCCTTGAGTGCCTCAGCCCAGCGCAGCAGTACCCAGGCAGACACACCTGGCACCTCACACGCCTCGGTCACAGTAAGTATGAGTTCAACGGTGCTGACAAATGAGGGAAGAGGGGCTGAGAAATGGGGTGGCCCCTGCTACTGCCAAAGCAGGGGGTTCCCTTTCAGAGCATCCCCAAAATGGGGGCAACATCCCCAAAGCAGGAGCAAAATTCCCGCTACTGGGGACAGGGACCTGCAGCACTGATGTGCAGTGTAGGGAACCAGAAAAGCTTTCCCAGCTCTTTCTGCTTCCCATGCCAGATTTGTCTGGAGCCTAAACTTAGCTCATGTATTTTAGCAGGACAGACGGAGTGGGCCAGGGTGGGAAAGGGATATTTTGCAGCCAAGCTGCAGTGCTGGGGTGGGTGGGAAAGTAGGGCACCGCTTTCCAGGAGGCTCCAATACTGGAGGCATGGGCTCAACCCCAGCTGGCAGTGGTGTGCAGGCAACCCACATGTTTCCAGAGGTTTCCACAAAAGGGGAAACCACCTTTGGTGCTGAACGCTCTGAGCTCTGCARGGAGTCCAGAGGGGGCTTAAGCTGGCAGCTGGCCCCCAGTGCAGCCAACCATCCCCCTCACCACCTCTGCCACTGCTCTGCTCCCAGTGGTGTTCCTGGTTAAATCACAGCACTGCTGAAGGAGCCTGASACAGGCAGATGGGCACCCTCACAGGGTGGCATCCCACAGCTGAATCCCAGCAGTGGCAGCCCCAAGTGCTGCATTGGTCTCCCTGCTCTCCCTGCCCTCTGTGCCCACACAGTGGGGCACTGGCCATCTGTGACATCCTGGATAWAAAATATGTTTGGGGCACTGAGGCTATGAGCTCCCAGTCTGCTGGGATTCCTGATGGCTTTAGGGCCCAGGGAGAGCATCCTGACCTGGGGAGGGCACTATGAGCCTGGGAGYTGCCTTGTCATTGCACAGGAGAATGCTGGGATGAGGGGGTACTTCTTGGGCAGGACACTCCCAAAYTCGGCCCTCATCAGGGTTTTGGACTTCACAGTCACCCCATTTTGTTGTTATGGCCTTGCCATGGGGCTGTTCAATGGGGCTGGGGTGTTGTCCCTTGTCCTTTGGCACACAGCAGTGGCAAAGCTGGATGCATACCAGGTTTGACCTGTTTTGGGTAAAGCAAGAAGTGAGACCGTGACTGTGTCAGGCGGGGAAACTGCCCCAGTGGGGCTAGGCAGGTGGGGCAGAAGGGCACAGGTGGCTTACTTCCCATCAGCTCTGCCCTTTCCAACAGCATCTRTGCTCCCCCAAAGGTCACCAGGGATCACAGGAACGTGAGCAAAGACCACCTTGGGGTGACATCAGGTCCACAGGGAACTCTGTGGCACAAAGAAGCAGAGGGCCCAGGTTTCATAGAGAAGTCCTTTCTCTGGCCCCATTGCCTTCCCATCACCCCTCATCCCTGGCAAACTGAGCTGATGATCCTTGGTGGCCTCTCCTCTCTCACAGGCATCAGCTCTGACACCCAAAGAGATAACAGCCAACCCACCAGCATGCCCTGGGCATTGTCTCTGCGATGGTCACCATGGGGCCGGCCTGGTTTGAAGGCCTTGGTCACTGCTGCGGTGTTTGTAACCACCCTCTGGAACCTGAGGTTCTTCCTCAACCCCTCCAAGGGCTCTGGAGAAGAYGCTAAACACAAGGAGCCACTGGTGATCCTGGTGTGGGAATGGCCCTCCAAACAGGTCCCCAATGTCAGTGGGGATGTGTGCCGTGAGCTGTATGGCATCACAGGCTGCCAGCTCACCACAGAGCGCCAGCTCCTGCACCAGGCCAGCGTGGTGGTGTTCCCCCACTCCAGGCTCCAGCCTGGCCGGGACAGACTGCCCAAGGAGAGGCTGCCAGGGCAGAACTGGGTATGGGTCTCCCTGGAGTCCCCCTCCAACACTAGAGCTCTAGCAGAATGGAACCAGACCTTCAATTGGGTGATGACCTACAGACAGGATTCGGACATCTTCATCCCCTATGGCAAGCTTGTGCCCAACCAGTCAGCCACTGTGAACATACCTGCAAAGACCAACTTGGTGTCCTGGGTTATCAGCAACTACCACAGGACTCAGAAAAGRGCTGAAGTCTACAAAAACCTCTCCAGGTACCTCCATGTAAATATATATGGGAAAGCAAACAATAAGCCCCTCTGCAAAGACTGTCTATTGGCAACAATATCCAAGTCCAAGTTCTACCTGGCCTTTGAGAACTCCATCCACCGGGACTACATCACAGAGAAACTCTGGAGGAACTCACTGCTGGCTGGCACTGTGCCTGTGGTGCTAGGGCCACCCAGGTCCAACTATGAGCAGTTTGTTCCCTCAGACTCCTTCATCCATGTCAATGACTTTGCCTCCCTGGAGGAGCTGGCCACCTTCCTGAAGACAATGAACTCCAGCCGATACCAGCAGTTCTTTTCCTGGCAGAGGAGGTTCAGTGTGAAGCTCTACACAGATTGGAGGGAACGGATCTGCACCATCTGCACYGCCTACCCCCACCTGCCCCATGGCCACCTCTATCCTGACCTGCAGGGCTGGTTCAGCTCCTAGCGTGTGCCAGGACACTTGGGATGAATCCAGGCAGAGGATATGGGGGGTGGAAAGTGCATGGGGCACCCAGCTGCATGCAGGATGGTGGGGCAAGGAGGACAGGAACTCTCACTCTCCTCCCAACCCAGCTGTTGCCACTCCGGGACTTTGAGCAACTCCCCATGACTTCATTTCTTGTGAAACAGGACTGATCATCCTGATCCAACAATGAACACCTTGTCAGTGTTGGCAGGTCCACAGGGTGCTGGCAGGACCACAGGCTGCTTTGGAAATAAATGGCACGGTGCTGCTGAGGCTGTGCATGTGGTGTGGGCAGGGCAGGGGGCTGGTGGGTGGTTATGGGCTCCCCAACCTTCCCCTCAATGTCTCCCCAGCATTCCTTCTGAGTGCCAAAGTCTTGACAGCAGAGGGTCTGTGATTACATTTTTGGCTGGGCTGGAGGAGCAACCATCAGCCTGGGGGGACCCCATTACCACATGGCCCGGGAGAAARGACAGCCTCTGCTCCCTCTCTTCCTGAGAGGGAGAGCACACATTTTCTGCCTTCCCCAAAGCCATGGATGTCACTGTRCCAGTGAGAAGCCACAGGACAGTGGATGCTCTCAGAGCAATCTCAGTACGCTGGGCAGGCAGGACACTGTGGTTTGTCACCCCCTTGCTGCTGTGACAGGAAGCCAGTGAGCTGACAGTCTCTGGAGGCTTGCACAAGCCCAGAGCAAAACCAGTCCTGTGGGCAACTTGCACATGCACACATTGGGCTGTGGAGACCCTGCACCATGGCCACCCTGCAGCACAAGCACCCATCTGRAATCAGTGGTGATATTGGGGTTGAGCCATGACTGCTCCATCTGTGCTTTGCTCTTTGCCCCCCTGCTCAGTGCCATCAACTTCCTTGATATAAACGACTCGTTCCCAGTTTTCTTTCCTGTGGCCCTGAAGTCACCAAATCCCACCTCTGCCAGATGTCTAGCAGGACCAAGAGTCAGCAGAGGGGACATTCCTCCCCTGCCCCAGCCCTGATGAGGTGGCAGCTGGACAGGCACACTGTGCTCGTCTGAATTTCTGTGGCTTCCGATTTCCGCTTTGTTTTCTGGGTCAACCAGAAGTGGAGCAGGAGGGGCTGTGGGTGCCCACAGACAYGTGCTGGGTACTGAGGGGCAGGCGGTGCCAGGGTAGCAGGATGTAGGGAGTTTCAGGGGGGCTGCAGCTCCTGCATGGTTGCAAGCAGAAATCCAGCTAGTGGGAATGTGTAGGAAAGGAAACATTCAGATGACATCCATCTCAGATTTCTGCTCCTGACCCTRTCAGCCTCCCACACCCTTTAAAGTGCCAGACTGCACTGGGCAGCAGCAACAGGGGATAGTTTCCAGTGTATGCTACACATGGCTGTGCCTCTACCCTGTGGGCAGGCAAGCACAGGGCTCTGGGGAGCAAGCAGTGATGCAGTGATCTAAAGAGGGGGCCCTGCCTCATGGGACTGGCATCTAGTCCAGCCCAGAATTTTGCAGGGTACTGMGGTGCCCTGTGAGCAGCTGCCTGTGGTGCCCCCATTCCAGGCAGCCCTAGAGAACAAAGYCCCAGCTACTGGCCATCAGGCTGCAAATAGGGCTTTCCGGAAGTTTCCCTACAGGCTTGRTTGGGGATTTCATTCTGCTCAGGGGAAGGGCCCTCAAAAGAATGGAATGGGGGCAACCCAGCTGAGAAACAGTGGTGGGAAAAAGCGAAGGGCCATCGCCCCAGACATCCCTGCTCCCAYCAGCTCAGCTCCCACTGCCTGATGGATGTGCATGGCTAGGTTACCATCACCCCACCAGAGACAGCCTCAGCTGGACCACACACATGGGAACAKCCATTCCTCTCCTGTCAAGTGTCATACTACAGGGGAGAGCCCTGGCATTCCAGACCTGTTCACTGCCCACCCTGCTACATCCTCCCTAGTCCTTCTCTGTCCCTGGCAAGCTGCTGGAGCAGCCTACAAGCCCACACTGCTTCCATCCTTCCCAGCAGCAGCTACAGCAAACCAGCAGCTTGAACTGGGTGGAAGATGACTCTCTTTCACTTTTGTTCTCCTCTACTTTGGGGGCCATGCCCTGGACAAGCTGGTACCACTCCATGGCCAAGCTGCCACAGTASTGGTGGGAGGCCAAGCTGTGGGCAGCCAAGAGCTGGGTGTTGCTGGCATGAGGAGATGTCACCTTCTTTGGGTGCCTTGTTCCAGCCTTGCTGCGCCCCCACATGCAGCCAAACCCATACTGCTGGGCTGCAGGAGTAGGGATGCAAAGGAGGCAAGGAAAGGGTTAACTCATTCTTGCCTCAAAGAACTCTGAGATTTATTTCAYTGCCAGAGGAGAATGTGATTAAAACAAAAAATTTAAAAATCATCATCAACTAGAGCAGGCTGGAAGGCATGGGGTGCTAGCAGCATGGACAGGGAGGTGTAGGCCACCTGAGCTGGGACCTCCAGGGAAAGGTGGTCTCTGGGCATCTGGGCTGGGGTGTGGAACAGCAGCTGGGGAGCGGGGAGGACCTGGGGGACTGGGGGTGATGCTGGGCACAAAGCACTGGGAAGGACTTCTCCAATCCAAACAAGCCTCATCAGCTGCCCCACAGAGGGGTACCACACCTCGTGTACCAGAGTGAGGGGTGGCAGGGGCTCACTTACTCCTCTTGCCCCAGCCCTTGGCTCACCTTGGCTGCCCAGGAGGGTAGGCAGAGCCACCAGGGCCATTGGCCCTGGGCACGGCACCCCAGCCTCACTCTACAGGGAGGAAGGAGACACCTGGGAAACTAGATCACTACAAAAATTTTTGCTTTTTAAAAACTACAACCAAAAACCATTAAAAAAATTAATAAAACCATCCCCTCCCCCCACCCTTCCCAAAATCTAAAAAATATTTTTTTCTGGATCTTGCAGGAGTGGCTGGGCTGGGACCAGGGAAGGGCTCAAAAGCCCTGGGCACATCTGGCTTCARCGGGTGCAGTGGGGCAGGAGGAGTTGCCCTCAGGAGAGGCCAGAGCAGGGCCAACACTGCTGGGACCAGTAAGCTCACGTAACTGGGAAGGGCTGGGAGCATCTGCAGAGAGCAGGCACCAATCCCTGCAMCAGGCTCTCAGCCCCTTGCACCCCRAAAACCCCAYGAGCAAGCAGAAGYGGGGCTGTGMCTGTGCGAGCCCAGGGCAAGAGGGACCGCCCCAGAGCACCAGCCCACCTGCAGTGATCATACAGGCCCTGGGTTCAGTGGCCACTGTTGCTCATGGAGAGCCCAGGCTGCAGCGCTTGTGGGAACATCTCGGCTTTGTGAAAGGTCGGCATGTAGACAGGAGGGGAGGGTGCCAGGCTGTAGCCCTGGGACGTCACTGGGATGGGCAGGGCAGGAGACACCAGGGGCTGGTTCATGTCATATATCATCCCCTCTGCCTCATTGCCATAGGGCAGCAGCAGCCGTTTGCCCTTCTGACGCCGGTTGCAGAACCAGACCCGGACCACCTGTGGGAAGGGAGACAGAAGAGRGTGAGGGGGTGACCCAGGCACATGGTGGGGGTTACAAGGAGACCCTTCTGCTGGTGGCATCTCCACAGCACCCAAACCTGCCAGTGCAGCCCCCTCCCTGCCACAACTCCTTGCCAGGCTGGGCTCCRACAAACTTCACCCATGACCACTTTCCCACTGCTTCCCGAGTAGAGAGAAGACAGAAATGGCAAGTACTAAATAGGAAAGAAGATAATGAGTGGAAAAGTTCCTCTCCAAAGGCTGGTGGCATAGCCAGATGAACCTAATACACAAACTTGGGTATTGTTAGGAGCTTGTGTTTTGCCTGTCTTCTGATGCATTTCCACCTCAGAAGCAAAATGTTATAACCTGCCACATGGGTTGCATGCGGGGCAAAAATCAGCTTCTTCAGAGATGAATTAGTTTCACAGGTTTACTTTTATGGGATTACTTATATATATTTGTGCATATACACAAACACAGATGCACGTTGTTGGATCTGGGAACTATTTTAGTTTCTGTTAAGTTTTAAATATTTAATCTGTGAACTTAAGTCTTCTCTGGGACTAAGTGGGTTTTTCTTTTTGGTACTGATGAGCCATGTATATCCAGCCTGGCAGAGCTAAAGGGCAGTTATTTACATCTCTCCATGTGTATTTCATTATTGCTCTGTGCCAAGGTATCAGACTGGCAGGTGCTCAGGAACTGATGCCATTGGGGCACCCATCCTCCCCACCCTCCCAACCTACATCTTTATCCAGGTTGAGGTCCTCGGCGATCTGGGAGATCTCCTGGGGACTGGGCTTCACGCACTTGCGGAAGAAGCTCTCCAGTGTTCCTTTCACATTGGTCTCGATGCTGGTCCTGCGTTTTCTCTTCCGGGCTTGGGCCAGTACTTGCTCTGCATTGCACATCTGGGAATGAGAGAGGGAATRTATTTGGTTAGCAGGTGGAATAGTCTCCACCAGGCTTCAGACACACRAGTAGCTGGCTGCAGAACTCAGGGAACAGACTATGTCCTGGTGACTTTCCATGGAGCATCATTCCACTGTGACTGGGRCCATTCCCAGTGTCCCAGCACAGCCAACAGTGAGGCTGGACACATCTCTCTCCATGCCCCCCAGGTTTCCCAGGGAGCAGCATGCTGAACATTCAGTCAGATTCCAGAAGGACCTGGCTGCTCCAATATGGGAGCTATTACAATCACAAGGTGTCTGTGGGGCAATTGGGCTTCCCCCTGACCCCAGCCTGGCAGAGGGTAATACCCAGTGGTTTGCCCTCAGGCCAGACTCAAGTCAWGCAGGGAGATGGTGCTGTGGCATAAGATGTCTTCTGTTCCCCTCTTCTCCCCCTTAAAGTACATGGGAAAGGGAGGAGAATGTGAGGCTTGAGGGCTTGCAGGTACCCCAGATCCCAGCCCCCTCAGCCCTGTACCTCTTGCATGTTGTCCGTGTTCTCYGCCTCATTGAGCCAACGCTGCAGCAGCGGCTTGAGCTTGCACATGTTCTTGAAGCTGAGCTGGAGTGCTTCAAAGCGGCAGATGGTTGTCTGGCTGAACATCTTCCCTGTGCAGGCAAGGCAGGCAGGGTATTACACACCGCATGGATTCCCTTGCCAGCAGGACCCCAGGATCTACCRCCCCCAAGCTTTCCCTGCTCCGGGGAGACCAGGAAGGGGACACTTCCCATTCC